CTGAATATTGAAAAAAAAAAAAAAACTAATATTACCTAATTTGATGATTCGGAGTTAAAAAATATCAAAAACTTTCCATAATGTATAGTCTTTTCAAAAAAATAAGAATGAAGCTTTCTCAAATTGTATTTATGTATGAGCTGTAATGTACTTATCAACATAACAAAAGCAGTCAAATGTCAAAAGTTTTAATGACAAACTGAGGTATTATAATGTATCATTTAATTTACAATTTACAAACAAAGTGGAAAAAGTGGAAATCGTGATTAGGCTTAAAGTAATGTTTTCAGCATCATTCATAATTGTGAAAATCAGCTGAGAATTTAATATAGTTGTAAGCTAGCTCAGACAAAGACAGGAATTGTGAATTGTGAACAGTTTTTCTGGTGTTAAAGGGATAATACAAGACTTTTTTTTACCTTACAAATGGTTGTCGAAAGCAAAAATGCTACGAAATCAATTTCATATCATCACATTTTAAAAGAAAGAGTGACGTGCAAGAGCAAAGCAGGCACTACTTTTGGAATCAGCAAACAAGTATTGGGCTTCGTTCAGCAAATATGATGCAGGACGGTGTAATATGTCCAAACATTTTCATAATATGTCAAAAATATTGTATGTTAACCAGTGATAACCTTGGGTAACTTCAAAAGCATAGTTTTAGGAATAAGCAAAAAATAATGGTAAAACAATATGGTTAAATAATGATTACATTTATGTAGCCTAACTACTATTTAACCTGAACTATCCTTTTATGTTTGCTTATATTAAAGATCAACCATAAAACTAAAGTTTCAGTCCACATACATACATGAGCTAATATAAAAATGTCATCAGATTAATATGGGTCATACTTTTTTTTTTTTTTTTTTAGCAAATTTACTTTGGTTTGTTGTGCCTGCATGATAGATGAATTCAAGAGGCCGTTTTTGTTGGCTGTACAAAATCCATGCCAGCAAGCTTCCTGCCCTCATCACCTGTCAATAAACCAGGTAACTGCTCAATATAGAAACAGCATGTTAGAGTTGTAGC